ATTTGGGGACCAAACCCCACATCAGGCTCTGTGCTTAGCACAGGTCTGCTTATTGTCTTCCCACTGCTCCTCCCGAAGTTTGCTCATGCTCTCTTGCTCTCAAATAAATTTTAAGAATCTTTTTTTTTTAAATTTAAAATAATGGTAATGCTTATGTCTTAAACTGAAGGATAGATATATTTTTCATACATGTATTTTTAAAAATATTTCCCAAATTTTATTTTTATATATTTTCTATTCATATATTTTATTTATAGATTTATATATTTTCAGGTATAATTAACATAGTGTTATGTTAGGTGTACAATGTAATGATTCACAATTCTATACGTTATTCAATGCTCATCACCATAAGTGTACTTTTAGTTCCCTTCATGACTTTACCCACTCAGCTCCTCTCTGGCAACCACCAGTTTGTTCTCTATATTTTAAGAGTCTGTTTTTGGTTTTGTATTATACTTTTTCTTTGTTAACTATTAATCACTTAAAAAACGTATTTTAAAAAGGCAGTGGAAATTATCCACTTGAAGAATGGTTGACTAGTCAGGAAATGATTAAAAATCTTCCTTCTTTACATAACCCAGATAACAGAGTCAAGACCTGATCCCAAGCCCACAATATATCAGATCATCACTTTGCCATAAGAGACTATGAACTCAGGATTATTGTAAGAGGCATGCAGATTAGTGAATTCTCACATATCAACATAAACTTTTGATATAGACAACAAAAATTCCACTTCCCAGTACTAAAAAAAGGCAGATGTTTTCAGCAAAGGATACGAGTAGGTCAAAGAAATAGAACATTTCCAACAAACCACTGAACAAATGCTCAGCATCACTTATAATAAAAATGCAAATTAAATCATTAAGATTTTTTTCTAAGAATGTAACCAGAACAAGTTTTCCCAGTTTCTACCAAATTTAAAAATATAAAAATCCTATGGTCACTGTTTGAAAGGTATTCTGTTGAAATGCCAACTAAAATGTGCAATAACAATTATTGCAGTAATGCCTGTAATAATAAACAATGATATCCAACCTGAAGGTCCACATTAATAGACTAGTTATAAATCAAATCAATTCTGGCATAAGCATATGAATGCATGTGCACATACACCATGGGATACTCTGCAGCCTTTAAAGAAATAAAGCCATTGAATATGTATGCACTCACAAATAGGCCCACTCCATATTTTTAAGTTATAGGGCAGTATGTAGAGTTTCATTCCATTAAAGAAATATGTATGTATGTGTGTGTCAGTGTGAGGCAGGCATCTATTTGGGTGCATACAAGGTATTTGAGTTATGTATGTATTACAAGGAAAAAAAAGTTTCAAAGGAATGTGCACCAACTTTCTTAACTTCGACTTTCTCAAAAGAATGGGATTGGGGGAAGAATTTATTTTTTATTTTTGTATTCTCTACATTTTGTTTAACCTTGTATTTTATCTGTATTGCTATGCTGTCCATTCCCTGTCAGATTTAACAGAGAAAGGCAGTCGTGTATTATTTTTATTTTTTAAAAAATAATTCTTAAAAAAAAACCTGAGTCTTTAGAGGCAGAATAGTGATGTGTCCAAATCTCTTTAAGATGACTACAGTTGACATTAAAAAAGACATTTTGAACAAGGCAAAAAAGAACATTCCTGTCAGAGCCAGGTACACCCACACTTGCAGACTGAAGCCTTCAACATAACAAGGAAACACAATAGTGCTTGCTCCTTTAATTCTTTCCACATTTGTAGGACTCTGTCTTATCCAGGTCCTCTCTTTTGCTTTTTTCCCACCTCTCTCTCAGCTTTAACTGCCACAAATTTGCTCTGTGCAGCAAGATATCAGAGAAAAGGAAGTCTGTATGGATCCAGAGATGTGGAGTTAAGAAAAGTTAGTGGTCAAATTTGTAATTTGTTCAGGATGCTCATTTGCCTAAATCTGGTCCTGAATGTAGGAACGGAGGTGGGCTCTTTGGCGTGTTTTCAAAGCTTGGTTCTCATATCAGAACTAAGAAGTTTCTGCAAGAGGGCTTTGGGGCATGCTCAACAGACACTAGCTTGTTGTCTTTACCATTTCACAGGCACACAGCAAGCTCCCAGTCAGCCAGGCGGGGTTTGGATCCTGAGTCTACCACGTGCACCCTGTGTGTAGAACACTGAGTAAGATATTTCCTCTCTTAGCTTCCTTTCCCTCATGTATGAAACAGGGAGGATAATAGTATCTAGCTCATTAAATTGTTAAGATTAGATGAAAAAATATGACCAAAAATAAGCATTCAATAAATGCTGGCTACTTTATAATTATTTGTAATTATTATAAGACTGGCTTGAATGTATCAATGCAGATTCTTTCCAGATGAATTTATGCTCCAAGAAAGTTTTTCAAACTTCAGTGACCAACCCTTAGCTAGTAGTGAAGTCATTTTAGTGGGTGGGAGTCAGCATTGAAAAAAATTAGTGGAATAGAATAATACTATGTATTTTTTTAATAGAAGATATTGTGCATAAAAAAGCTAATGTAACATGCATTGCTTTCTGTGGTGTAGAGTCAAATGAGTTTGAAAAATAATGCTTCTAAGACAAACAAAGGTGACAAACTGAAAATCTTCCATAACTCCCTTCTCAGCCCTACTCCCTTTTGTTCCTTTCAAGCACAGGGAGCAGAAGTTCAAGAGCTTTGGAAATGAGCTGCACTGATGATGACCATTTTGATAATGTATGAGCATGCCACAGTGCTGTGAGAAGTCAGGTTACAGAGTTAGACAAATGGTTTATTCAGAACTGTCATTGCACTTCTTCTCAAGTACATGGAGCAGGGGATAAGGGTTTGTTAGAATTAGCCAGGCCTAAGGACTTAGTTCTTGTTTTGGTTTGAAACTGTTCCTATTAATTCAAGAACTGTGGCAGAAGGCCTCAAAATTTCCTTTCATTCAAAAAAAAAAAATTTCCTTTCATTCTACAAACCCATCACCCAAAACTCCTACTTTTAGTAGGTAATGTTTGAAAAGGAAATCTCACAAAGTTTAGTCTGACTAGGGGAGTGAAGAAAGTGAAAGGGTTTTGAATTTTCATTTTTCCAAAACATTATATAGTATTCACATTATAGCAACTAAACACAATGCAAATAAAATGTAACAATGATTAAAAATACATGGGAGAAAATCAGGCCCAGAATTAGAATTAGGTTACCAGGACTGGCATTTTTAGGAACTAAATTTTCACTGACTTGTAGGATCTGCATTTTTTTTTCCTGGATTTCATTTACTATGGAGAAACCCACTTATAAATCACCATGGTAATATAACTGTATGTATTTCTGTTGATTTAAATTATTTTATTTGGTATTTCCTTCTGTAATGCTATGAGCCACTCATTATAAGCACCCTTAGTTCTAACAGAATTAGCCACCTAATATTAATCAGAGAGGAAGATTATTTACAAAATATCAGTCAACACGTGTAAGGCTACAATTTTCCACTTTCTATCATGATTTCAATTGAAATATGAAATTTGATTTGAAATAGTGTTAACTATAAAAATTATAGAAATTCCACAGAGACCTCTGTTGGAATTAAAACCATACACTCTGAGTTGTATATCTATTACCTAATGCACAACAAATAACAATTTTGATCACATTAGTTAATGTATCTAAGAAAAGTAAAACATTTAAAAATGTGTGTATCTATATATTGTTAAATGGGTATGGTATAGACATATACATATCAATATCTGTCCACTTTATAATTAAGTATAAAGATCTGGTTTGCAATGAAACAGTAAACATCTGTTATTTTCTCCTGGAAATGGTATTTACAGTTTCCATGGTTACAATGAGGAGCCAAGAGGCATGGGGGCATTTTAAGACATGGATGGTTCTAAGAACTAACTCTGAAGATGGATGACAGAGAAGTCCTGAATTAGTATGCGATCACATCCTTAGATCTTTTTTTTTTCTAAGATTTATCCACATATCCCTATCAACCACTTGCTCATTCTGATACTCTGGATAAATTAGTTAAATTCCTAAATCTGTTTTTTTCATTCTTAAAATTGAGTAACGTATACCTTTAGGGAATGTGTTTCCACATTCCACATAGGGATGGAATGTGTTTCCATCCTTTCATTACAGGGAAATCAGCAGACATGTTAAAGACTAAGATTAGAAAAGCTAAATCCAAGAGTAAATGTTTTACAAAGGTTGGGATACCCATACTGGTAAACTACTAAATCAGTGATCTCCCCAATGAATCCAACCTTAAATATATACATCCTTGTATAATTTCCTCTCACAGTAATTCTGGGTCTTGCCATGGGACTTTCTCTGTCCAAAGAGACATTAGCAAATGTGACAGACATAGGCAATTGGTAAGTACATGCACTTTGGGGCTTAGCTACTAGAAATTCTGCTGTCACCATGTAAGAGTCCAGGGTCAACCACTAGAGAGGACATGTGGAGGAGACTCATGCATCCCAACAAATAGTGCTTGCTAAACCCCATTTTGGACCATCTGGCCTCAGCTGAGTCACTCAATGACAGTAGCTACTTGAGTGGCCCCCAAGTAAGATCATCAGAAGAACCACTCAATTAAGCTAAGCCCATTGTGCAGAATGAGCCAATAAATGGTTATTTTAAGCCACTACATTTTGGGGTTGTTTGTTATTCACGATAGACAACTGACATATTCAGTTATCTGGTAGGATAAACCTTTCATGCGTTGATATTGAAATCAGTAAATGATACCTAGAAGTGACCAATCATAGACATTAAAAAACATATACTACTAGACATATACTTTTAATAGACATTAAAAAACATATACTACTAGCATATGAATGAGTAAAATAGGAAATACATAAAACATAATCAGAAAATATATTTTAAAATGGAGTAGCAAACATAAGGTTTTCTTTGTTAGATTTTCTATGCTGGATTACTACTTTGTGCTGCATAGACAAAAACAAAAAAACCCTGTGTATCATTTACTGAATATATATAACTCACCAAAGCATGATCTTCCATGAAGCATATGTTGGAAAATCTTGCACAAAGATTCTTCACTTTGTGTAGTGGTCCTACAGGTGCACTGTACTTGAAGGACTGTCCCAAAAGTACCAATGTAAGCTGCTTTGCAGTCATCACTTCCTGAGCAAGTGAGGTCCTGCTGGCTTAAGGTACTGATGCAGAGCTCATCTTCATGGCACTTTCTAATCATATGCTGCCAGCATTTTGACTGAAATGTTCTATAGCGCCTCCTAGAAAGAATCAAGAAATGGAATTAGTCTGGATAATATTATCTCACAATAACATGTGGTACTGCCTCACCTAATGAAAGACTGGCATCTGACAAAAAAGCCTTTAAACATCAATACATAGCTGAAAACAAAATTAGTACATACAAGCATCCTAATAGAGACTGTAAAAGTAGAGAAACCTCGTGAATTATTTTCCTTTTGTGATGAAAGACAGAGGCTAAGTTTAGGATTTCCTGGATGAATGATCTTTCACTACTAATTTTATTTCAATGGGTGATGATTTGCAATATAAAGTATATGGTAGAATTATTAGCAATATTTTTGAAGCAGAATGTGCTTTTCTGGCTAGCATTTGGCCACAGTTTCATAGAGTGATTTCATACAAGACTCTAGACCTTTCCAGCCCCTGTTCTCCCACAGATTGGGAGGTACTGTGCACTTTCTCAATATTTCTGAGCAGACTAATTAGAATTTACAAAATTCTTTTAGCTTCTCTGGCAGTAAGAGCTAATGTAAAGCAAAATTTAGTTTATTTAATGACTGAGATAATCCATTAGAACCACATCAATTCATAAAGTTTCTATGTATTTGTGTTGTACTAGCTTTGAATGAAAGTCTGAATAATGTACAATAATTCATTTTCAAAGCTTTCAAAGAAAGAAGATATTCCCAGTGGAACCAAGGATATTAATCTTTCTACTTAATATTTATCACCTAAAATTACTTCTTACCCTTTCTTGAATAGATCATCATCAAATAAGCATGAAAACTCTCTGAGTAAATAGACATTTACCAGCGTATTTGTCCACATGCTACTTTTTAAATCCAGAACTATTATTTTTAATAATCTCATATTTAAGTAACCCTAAAGGAATCAACTTTTTAACGTCATGGAAAAAATTAATTAGTATCTATTAAAACTTATATTTAAGGGATCCCTGGGTGGCGCAGCGGTTTAGCGCCTGCCTTTGGCCCAGGGCGTGATCCTGGAGACGCAGGATCGAATCCCACGTCGGGCTCCCGGTGCATGGAGCCTGCTTCACCCTCTGACTATGTCTCTGCCTCTCTCTCTCTCTCTCACTATGTGCCTATCATAAATAAATAAAAACAAAAAATTAGAAAAAAATCATGTTATAAAAAAAAAACTTATATTTAAGAAAATCCTACAAATATTTTGAGCCAGAAGAACAAATATGTTCCTTTAATGCAATTGAAGGTTATATAGAAAATATCATGTAAATAGAAGTATTGACAGTATGGATCATCATTTAGGAGTTGATAGAGAATAAATCTGGACCCAGGTGCCATTTATTCATTTTTAAATATGTATTTTGCTACAGTTAAGTTGTGTGAGTTATCTACTCATGGAAGTTATTTCATTCAGAAAATTAGTTGTGAAATTCTGCATAAATGCTGAATTAAAGGATATTTTTAAATAAAAAAATTATGAAATTAGTACACATTATCTACATGATTTGAAAAAAAGATTTAAATACGCCCAAAAACTTTATATGATAGAAATTCTGTTTCAGGTTTAAACATTCTGATGTATAATGTTTCATTATCTTTATTTTCTTGATATTCTGCAATTTTCTATATTTTTTGTCCAAACAATTATTTAAAAGTAGTTTTTTTAATGGAATTATTTTGTTTTCATCTTATCTATTGATTTCCAGTTACATTGCAAAATGTAAAGAATGTGGTTGGTATAATTTCTGCACATGGATATATGACCTAATAAATCATCAGATTTTTAAGTATTCCATGGTACTTAAAATATTGTGTACATTGTGGGGTTTTGCTTTTAAAAAGTAAGTAGAATTTATTTAAGCGAATACTTTTTTTCACTACTTTCTTGAGTTCATACATATGAAAATATAATGTATTATAATTTTCTGTAAGCACCTAAACATTTATAATTTGCAAAACATCTCATGTCTCAGTATACATCTATATTAGAATTGATTGAAAAATGAACTTTATATTGCCTTCTTTGGCCTTTCCAAATAAATAAAGGAGTTTCGAAACCTATAATGTATTGAAGAATCTGGAACAGGAACATAAGTTTTATTTTAAGACCCAAATGCTCTCCTCTCCACACATACAGACTTTTCAGCAAAAACAGGTAGCAGATAAAGGGCTTAACCATCCTTACTGAAGAAGTAGTTTGTCATTTGGATTTTTTTCCATCTGAATTACATTAATAATAAGTTAATATAAATGCTAAAAGTCTCCCTAAGGCAAAATTCGCCTGAGAAAAATGACAGGATTTGTCTTTTTACCTTGACTGCTAATATTGCATAATATTTCCATCACCTCTATAAAATATTCATTAAGGGACTATTTGCACACAGTGAAAAGCGATCTAAAGTACATAGTTCTTACTCTCTGAATTAATCCATGAAAGACAGAAATTACACAAGAAGAGACATATATATGTACATTAAAAATTATAAAAATTAATTGCAAGATACTCAAAGGTGGAGGGAAACAAGATGACATCTTTAAATGCCTCTGGTTTTGCAGACCATGCACCAAACATTTTGGAGAAGTGGTTAAACCGAGGAGCCTTTATGGAAAAAAATTACCAACTTTGTACCAATCAATCTTAGAAGGTGTTGACACCAAGATGAGTTTAATTCAGGAGTGTGTGCTTCAGAATCCATCATGGGGCTTCTTGAGGACTCTAACAGCAGATTCATCACTTGCCATTAAAATACTTAATTTGAAAGGAAAGTTTAGATATATGATGTTCCAAAAGTTGAATGCAAATAAGTTAAAGATGATAAGGTAGTATTCCTATGGTCTTGGCACTGGAATCAGGTAAAGCTATCCAGCTCCCCATTCATGGAGACTTCTGGTATTTTTACAGGGATTGCTTTAACAAAATTTTCCTGGCTGGTTAAAATATCACTAGTTTTCATTGTTACTGTAGATAGATGATTGACAGATGTAAATATTCTATTTGTGATATGATAAAAATAGTGTAATCAAATGTTTTCATCCTATTTCATTGATTACAGGAAATATCATTATCTTGTTATAACTAAAATAACTTGTTAGAAATTAAATTATTGTTTTAATTTCATAAGTATGTTCTGGTCATTGAGCTTAAGATACATTCCAAAGCTATTAGGGATATTAAAATGTTTTAAAATTTTCATCTTAGAATCAATGAAATACAATATTTCACAAAATAAGGAATTTTGAGATATGAGTTTGAAAAATCTAAACCGTATCATAAAACATTTTTATTATTAATTTTATTATCACTCGAGAGATATAATTAATAAGCCTCAAAATAACTTATAAACTTTTGTAAAATAGGTCCTCAAAGAAGACTTTCTTAAGAGCTTTGGCATTCTATGTGATAAGTTAAAACAAAAAATACATCGATGTTCTAGCACTCTGCTTAGATCTTTACCCATTATCTTACAGAATGTATGTTGTAGGAAAGCAGTTGTCCTTTTCAACAAATATTTATAAGATCTGGAGCTACTCTGAAAGTTGGAATGGCAGAGTAAAATAATGGATATAGTTAAAAAGCTAAAAGATGTTTACCAAGAATCAGACCCTTCAGGCAGTTGATATTAAACCTTTCAGCTCATTTGTCAATGGTCGAAGCAAAGTGATGAATGTGATAATCTTTGCTCTGAGCTATCACACACTAGGCTACTCTTCCACATTAAATGCTTATTTTTAATTTTAAATGATTTGCTATTTATGAAGTTTTATTTATTTAAATGAAATTAAACAAAACAATTCCTGATTAAAGGCACTGGGCAAATTGACATGAAGAATTATTCCAAAAAGGAGCAAAAGATGAATCCATAAATTATATGATTTAATGCTGGTTGTTTAAATAAAGCTCCTTTAATATGGTAACATCAATGATATAAATCATTTTGATTCATCAGATTTATTCAGTATTCTCACTTTTTCCTGCATTTTTCTTACTCCTCCAAAGAGACCTACTTAACTGTGGATGCCTTACTAGGCAAAAGATAAATACATCTTGAATATACAAGGAAATGTGTTAATGAAGACTGTAGTGAGGAAAAGAAAAAGCCAGTGTTGAATTAGATTTATAGTTCCCAAGAGTAATTACCTGCAAAGGTTCAGTCTAGTCTCAACTAGCAACAAGAGTGGAAGTTTTAATAAGTGAGCCAGATCATTCATACCTCTGCTCAAGATCCTCCAGAAACCTTTCATTTTACTGGGAGTAAAAACCCAAGTCCTTAGTGTCCCTCTAGGTCCTATATGACTGAGGCCTACTTGCCCCCCATTCCAGTTAAATGTCTAACTACATCTCCTATTGCTCTCCTCCATGTAGGCTCTACCCTCATTGCTTTTTGAACAGGTCCTATTTCTTCCTCACCACTGGCTAACTTGTTTGGTATTTCTTTTTTCAGATGCATACTGAGAGAGGCTCATTCTCCTACTTCTTTAAATCTCCCTACTGGGACCACTGTGTTCACATTGCAACTCTTTCTGCCCCTTCACAATGCCACTTACTCAATTCTCTCCCTTTGTGTGTTAATCTCCACAACACTCATTACCTTATAATATATATTTCACTTATTTATTATCTTTCTCCCACCACTAGACCCCAGGGCAAGCATTCTTGTCTTGTGTGCACTGGTACCTAGAGAGTAACAGGCAGATAATTATTTATTTGAATGACAAATAAATGACTAACATTGCTCCCCTGAAAATCAAGCGCGTGAGGTTGGGAAGAAGAAAATGGGTATATTTCTGACATAATGGCATACATGTGGGCTGAGTTGGACTCAAGTTACCTTCTCCTTCTGGATCTCCAGCCTATGAGAAAAAGGTTCAATTTGAAGTTTGAAGAGCTGCCTTATCAAAGCTCTCTGACATTTAACAGCCTGAGGTAATCATACCAAAAAAACAAATTAAACTGACATGCCAGTCAGGTCTATTTACTGATTCATTAGCCTAACTTGAATATATAATTTTAATGATGCTGTTTCATGGCTACCAAATCCTGACACATTGAATTCGCTTATTCCAAAAACCTGTTCTGCATTTGAATTTCAAAAAGGATACTACACATGTACTGCATATTCAAAAATATGAGTTGTCTGGCTTTGTTTACATCATGTTGGATGAGGGTGGGAACTCTAGCTAATGTAATGAGATCAAGTGTTAGGACTGGACTGTAACAAATAAGGTGCCGAAATAAGAAACTAAGGTATGCGTGTTTTTACTCACCTGCATAATTCATCATTTCGGCAGCTGTGAATTACATCGAGGCAAGAAGGGGGTGGAACGACGTTCACCGCACATGGCTTGCTGTGAAGAGCTTCTTTGGACTGCTGACAAGGTATATCAGATGGAGCACAGTCACAAAAAGCCAACATCTGGGCAATGTTAAAAGGCATATTTTGATAGAAGAACCGTATGGCTGCTTGGCAGTGTTTCACATCACACAGATTTCCATTTGCTGAGCAAGCTTTAAGGTAAGCGGCCAACTGTGTGTTACAGACCACATCCCCTACACACGCCTCTGCCACTTCCAAACAGGACTGGATCCCTTTGATTCCTAAAAGCAAGGATATGTCCAGTTTGCGGAAAAGTAAACACAAATCAGTACATAAAGAATCTGCAAAATGCTGTGAAATGTCTGTGAGCAAAACACAATGATGTACCAATGTGCTATTTGGGGCTAATCTTACTTTTTTTTTAAGAGTTAATATGAATTTACTGGGGCCTGAGTAGTGGGCTATTTGTATCATCTTTCATTTATGCTGGATACATATTGTGATCTAGATATGATAGGAAACATATAGGGCCAAAACTGAGTGGGAAAAAATTTTTTGAGTCCAAGTCTCTCAAATGTAAATAATAAATCTTCAGAAATTGCATTTGAAGTATATAGCTTATGGTGAGTTCATGGGCTCAAATCAAAATGATTTTTGTTCGTTGCATTTTTTATTTTGGGTAAAAATCTTGACTAAAGTTTCCACATAGTTGCAGTTATTACTATTATAATAGCAGTTGCAGTTATTAGTTGCAGTTATTATAATAGCACATAAAGATGTTGACATTTTGGAAAACATAGATACATGTGAGTGCTTTCCCTTTCCCCCGCCACCAAATGCATATATACAAAATTAGCCTCAAGCACTTAATTTATGTGATCAAAATACTTGTGAAATTTAACCAAGATCTAATTTTTGGTTTTAAATGTAAAGTTTTCATTCCTCAGTATAACCGTAAATAGTTGACAGGTGGACAAAACAATTAATTGCTTTGATACATGAATGGAAAAAATACAGTAATTTTGTTGCATTTTGCAATATTAGACTAAATTAAGAGCCACACAATTTATTTTGTATTGGCATATCTTTAAGAAAGCGAGTAACTATGTTTTAAATCATATTGTCTAGTATTTACAATGCAAATGAAAATTATAAATATAAACATTACCATGATAGGGAAGGGTAGTTAGATTCCACTTGGATTGATTATCCTCTTTCATGTTACCTAGAAGGAAAACAAAGAGACTAATTCATTAGTGAACAATTTTTAAAACTTAGTAGAAAAATGTGGGTCACATTTAGAAATGAATGATCAAGCAAAAATACATTCTAGCTCATGTAATACTTACTTAACCCTTGATACTCAAAATTAGTGACATGCAGATGAAGAAAAATACCCCCCACACCCACCCCAAATATCATTCCAGTGAGTTAAACAGCCCTGCTCTGAGGATTTAGTTACTCTAAGATTTAAACAAATGCTAACAACCAGGCCATGTGTACTGAAGTAAACAAAGAATCTGTCGGGAGAAAGAACAGAAGGAATATTGTCTGAATTGAAAAAATCCTTCCCGGTAGGGTCTTAATTAAATGGAAATGGAAATTAAAGATGATTTCTACCTCTGATTATTTTAGTCTTTTAGAGTTCCTAGGAATTATAATCAGAGAACTAGAGAATTGCATTGATGGAAGTGAACTCACTGCCCAGCTACTTCCAAACTCTTTCATTCAAGAAGCATTGGTTGAATCACGACTATGTACCAGTTTCCATACTGAAGATATAAATGTATAGTCCCTGTCACGGAGCATCCACAGCCTGGCATGGGATATAGAGATATAAACAAAATCCAAACAAAATATAAGGGGTGCTAATAAGCATATGCATAAAGTGATAGGGGAATAGTCTGATCAAACCTGCATTTTAAAATTAAAGCTGAATTGTTGCCATTGGCTATTAAGATTGACTTCTGTTGTGACTACCTGATTCAATTTGTCTCTGAACTGCCTATCCAAATTCCCTGCCAGCCCATCCACTGCACAAAAAAGAAGGTACAATCACAAGAAAATTCTTTTTTACTCCCAACTGTGTCAGTCTTGCCAGACTCCCTGCATTGTTCCATCTGTTCTCACTATACATGGTTTCTCACTTTTATATCCATAATGGCTCAGCTGAAGAATCACAGTGTTTCTAAATCTACCCTCCTGTGTCTCTGAGGAAATCTGAGATGTTCGTTCTTCTGACTATCTCATATTGAGTGAAATCCCACAAGCAAATCTCAGAGAAGCATACAGCTTTTGTAACAGCTACAAAAGTCTAGGCTAGACCTCTATTATAGATTAGCATCTCTGCTTTGGGACTGATTGGTATGGCCATGCCATTGACTAAATATATTCAAGAATCTATCATTGAAACAAACACTGAATGTGCATACTTTTACTGAATTTTCCTATGTCCCTCCAAAATTCACATGTGGAAGCCCTGTAACCTGCTGTGTGATGTATTAAAAATGGTGTCTCTGAAGTTATTCAGGTTAATGAGGTTATGAGAGTGGGTCCTTAATCTGACAGGATTATCATTTTAGGAGAAGAGGCACAGAGAGCTTACTTCCTCTTCTCTCTTCATACACTCAAACACCAAGGAAAGGTCATCTGAGAACACAGAAAGAAACCAGGAAGTCCACAAGCCAGGAAAGACAACTCTTACCAGAAACCAACCCTGCTGGACCTTGATCTGGAAGTCACAGCCTCAGAACTGTGAGGAGATACATTTCTGTTGTTGAAACCACTCAAGCTGTGGTATTTTGTTATGCAGCCCAAGACGACTAATATATTCACCATGTGGGTAATTATCATAAACACAACAAAATATTTATTTTAGCATGGGAAAATAAACCCGATCTTGGATGTGTACTACTTTATATGTTATGTGTAATCCATATAATTCTATGCACATTAAATTCTAATTTCATATGGTACATACATATGTATAGACACATTCTTCCAGGAAGATATTTTAAACTGTAGCTTAATTCCTGAAAAGCAGCTGAAGGGCAATATGTCACAGGAATAAATAAAAGATTGTACCAATCAGATCTACATATGAGATAGAAGATCATATACATAAAAACATACATACCATTCCTTCTTATTCATCCACTAATGTCAAAATATATCCAAAATATGATATTTTCCCACCTTGCTACCAAACAGGTCCAAGACAGCATGCATTTCTTTGTTGACCTCATCTAGGCCATGGGCTTATTTATCATCTATAAGTGAATGAAGCCCTCTTGCCCAGATCTCACTTTGTTGTGTCATACATAGAATTTAGACATCAATGCCATACTGGGGCTGCCTAATTTGATACATTTACTTGGATATCTAATAAACATTTCAGACTTAACACATCCCAAACCAACCTGTGACTTCTCTGTTGCTCACTGAAGTCTCTCCTTCCTGTGGCTGTTTCCGTAGCAGTTAACGAAAATAATGAGAACCACATCCTTCTAATAATTAAGGACAAAAACCTCGGAATCAACCTTCATTTCCTTTTTTTTCTTACACCTCCATATGATTTACTTCTATCAAAATATATCCAGAATCTGACAACTTCCCACATGGGTCCATCATCTATCATTTTTTAATCTGTGTCATTATAAAAGCCTCCTACTTGGTCTTCCTATTGGAGCCTTTGCTTCTCTTCAGTCAATGATCAACATAAAAACCAGAATTATCCTTTTAAAGATAGAAATCAGATCATGATAATCTTTTAGTGAAAATTCTTCAATAATTTTCTGTATCACTCAGGAAAAGAGCCAATAACCTAGAAATGACCTAGAAGGAGGCCCCACCTGATCTTGCCCCTGTTTTATTTCTGATCTCACCTCCCACACCTCTCTCCCATATTCTTTCCTCTCCCTATGTGTCTCCCCTTAGCCCTTCCGCAAACCTCCAGACACATTTCCAATTGAGGGTGTCTAACTCTGTTTCTTTTGCCTTAACTATTCTCTCCCCAAATATCTACAGGGCTCATTCTCTTAACTTTTTAAATCTTTGCTTAAACATTAACTTAAGGATACAACTGTGTGGTCATTCTATTAAAATTAAAAATCACTCACTCATATCTCTTTTTTTCCCCTCTGCTTCAGTTTTCTCCTTAGCATTTATACTGTTTAAAATATCTATCTTAAAAAAAATATCTATCTTAAGTCATTTGTCCTGTTAATTTTCTCTTTGTCCCCCACATTGGATGCTATGACCCGCTACTAAGACACCTCCTTTGGTGACCCAGGCTCTCCTTTCCCCAGGGGCTGAAAGTATGGCTGGGTGATGACTCACAACCGTCCTTTTCTAGGCATTGCCCTCATTCAAAGAAAGTTGCCATAAGCAAAGTTACAGACTTTCCCAGGGAACAGCTCAAATACAAGCTCTAGCCCATAGGAGGGGTTCAAGGATCAGGTCCCTTGCCTCAATGGCCAATCCAGGTCCAAACTTCCTGTGGGATAAACTAAGTTTGCTGTGGCAGCCGCACTGCATTTCAGCTTCTCCCTTTACCTAATCCTATTTCCTTCAGTTCCTTCTAACTTTTGTTCTTAAACCCCCAGCCCCAAAAAACTTTTGTCTGCAAACCTCTGTCTCAGATTCTTTTGCCTTGGAAGGTGATTCAAGATGCCCTCAATACAGAATGCAAACTCCTAGAGAGCAATGGTTTCTGGTTGTTTTGTTTACTACTTTTCCTCCAGGTCTGAGCACATGGACTAAGACATGGTAAGGACTCAAAAGAAATACCTATTAAATAAATAACCAGCATTTAACCACATTTTATCTATTTTTTTGATTTTTTTAATCATCTAAACAACAAGCTCCTTGAATGAAGGACAGGTGATTTTTGGTTTTGCTTTGTTATCCTTTTTTTTTTCTTTTTTCTTTTTTTTTTTAAATCCTGCTGCATAGGACCTGGTACATTGTAAATGTCCCAGAAGTATTTGTTTAATGAGAGAATGAATGAATACAATTGACATTATTCTAAAACATTTTAGCATTTTGCTCTTTTGCCTCTTTGTAATCCTTTTTGGACATAGTCATGGCATTAATTTTTTATTCTTAATTTTCTAGGAGAAACAGGCAGGAATGACAAAGTAGGAATCAGAACTTAAATATTCTTTGGTTAGTTCATAGTTATGATTATATACTTAATGTTCCTAAATTCTTCTTTAGAATACCAACCTGAAAAAATGTCCTGTTTGAATCCATCTTTGTGGTCATCACTGACAGCCGGAACTTGATTCATCTGAGCATCCTGTATACAAATGTCTTCAAACAAACTTCTCCAAATTTCAACACATTCTACTTTTGAAGGGTCATTGCAATGACAATTCCACAATATCGTTTCTTTCAGACTTTCTCTTAATGCTGCACACAGGTAGCCTCCATCAGGGGTCTTGCATTTTTCTGATTCCTTTCCACAGGTTTTCTTAAAATTTTCATACAACAGAGTACAATGTTCCATTTGTTGGCATATATGTGCTGCTATGACACAGTCACTCTTTTTTCCAACCATTAATGATGTGTCTTTCTGATGGATCCATTGTGTGATATTTGACTGTCCAGCCAAATGTAATGACAGAGCTGATTCTTCTATAAATAAAGTAATAAAGTTGAACTGATTTCAGTCTAACTTGTATGGACCTGTTGACTGGTAACTACATTTCGTCAAAACTTGGTATGATTAAAAATGGCTAGAAAGATATAAATTGTCTTGCCATAATCATCATGAAACATAAGTCAATAAATATTTTTAGTATTTCAATATGCTTTCATTTCCTCCTATTTCAAACAAAACTAGTAAAGACCTGTTAATTAGTTAACTCCTGTGATTAGTTTGGGCTCTATTCTTTTTTGGTGACTTTTCAGCATTTGTAATTCCTAACTATTTTCTCTGTGTCCCTTTCATTGACTTCAAAAACTCTTTCTATATTTTCTTTTCCTGTCTTTGAAATCTTTTTTTTCTTCAATTAGATCATAAATGTTGTTATCAAAATCTTTATATCCTCATTTGATAGCCTTTTCAGACCAATCCTATTTTCCTTCATGGTTTTATCTGCTTCTTACAAACTTTTAACTCCAAAACCTGTATGTCTATTTTAGATTACTCTCTTTAGTGCAAAATGCAGGTTTCCAAATGCAAGCTAGATGACGCACATTCCTTCATTTCTCTTTTGAAATTATTTGTATCATGTAAAACTTAAAACAAAATATTAACATTCCTAACGTGAATGTTCCAAAGCTTTCCACAGATGCAATGTCTCCAAAATATAACTCATCACTTCTGTCCCCAATCCTGTACTTTATTGTTTGTTCCCTATCTCAGTATATCACAGTATCCTGTCCCAAGCCAGCAACTTGTATAACTTGCTTCATACATTTCATACTCCTCATATCCAACTGTCACCAATTCCCAGCAATTATAATTCATAAAATATCTTACTTCTGCTTTCTCCTCATAGTCCTTAGCACTACTGTGTTAGTTTAGGCATGTATCACCTCTCTCCCAAATTATTTCAATGGCCTTTTAATTGATATTCCTGGCCTGCATCTTTCCCTCCCCTCCATTCTGTCCTTTGCACTCCTGCCAGTGATACCCTTTGAAAAAGCTGATTCTGCATTCCTCTGTTTAAAATGCCTCAAGAGCCCCTTGCAATAACAGTTTGAAGTCTAATCCCTTTAGAAAGACCCGTAAGTTCAGCTTTCCTCCTTAACATCTGGTTTCTTTCCAGCATCATCTCCTAATACTGCTCTGTTCTACACACCAGCTTAACAAAGGATTTGTTGCTCCTTGAATGCTCTCTGCTACATTCTATTTCCTCTCTTTAGAACATCCATTTTGTCTCTCTAGTGAACCCAATTCACCCTAAAATACCAAGTCTGTCATTTCTTCTGTGAAACCTTCTGAGTCACCACTCTTCCTTCCTCTATAACTTCAAGTACTTTGTGATTGTGTGTGTATCATCTAGCATGTATCATATTGTACAGGTGATATTTAGCACTTAGTATTTTAATTAAGAATTGAACTAAAAGTAAATAACAAAGGTATATTGGAAATCCTCAAATATTTGGAAATTAAACAACAGTATTATAAGTAGACCATGAATCAAAGAGGATGTCACAAGGGGAATGATAAAATATTTTGAGCTGAATAAAAATGAAAATACAACATACTAAAATTTGTGGATGTAACTAAAACATCACTTGGAAGGAAATTTATATAATGAAATGTTTTTAGGAGGAAAGAAAAAAATCTCAAGTCAATAATATAAGCCTTTATCACAAGAAACCAGACAATGAAGAGCAACTTCAAATAAAATCAAACACAATAACTAAAAATAATGAAGAACAAAATTGAGAGACAGAGACAGAGAGAGACAGAGAGGAGGATACAAGTTTGTCAATATCTGAATGAAAGAGAACAACTGTACAACTCCAACAGACATTTAAAGGGCAATTTAGAATATTAGGAACAACTACCAGAGAGAGAGAGGGGAGAATAAAAGTAAAATGGAAACCCTAAAAATAAAAATGCGACATAAATCTACCAAATGGGAAAATTCACTGAAAGATACAAACTACCAAACTCACTCAATAAGGAATAGGTAAGTAAAATAGTCCTATAACAATTAAACACATTGAACATTTTAAAACTTTCCATTGAAGAATGGACCAGATATCTTCACTGGTGAATTAAATCAAACATTTAAGGAAGAAATAATATTAATTCTTCGTGTACTGTTCTAGAATAAAGAACAGGAAGAAATACTTCCCAACTCTTTTTAAAAACCTGCATTATTCAGACAACAAAATCAGACAAATACACTGTAAGAGAACAATATCTCATCATTCCTCATGAACATAGATTAAAAACCCTTAACAAAATATTAGCAAATTGAATTAAGCAATATCTAAAATGAATAATACATCATGACTGAGTAGGACATAGCCTCAGCATGAAGGGTTAGAACCAACATTCAAAAATCAACAATAGAACTCAACAAATAAAAAAAGTGAAACATGATCATTTCAATAAAGGCAGAAAAAGCATTTGCAAAATTTAATATCTATCTTCAGCTGGACAAAGGGAATCTACAAAGAACCTACTGCAAAAGCTATTCTTTATGGTGCAAAACTAATTGCACTTCTCTTAAGATAGGTAAAGAGACAAGGATGGCCAATCCCATTTCATATTATTCTGGAGGTCCCACCCAGAACAATAGAGCAAGGGAAAGAAATAAAAGCATACAGATTGGAAAGGGAGAAATAAAACTCTCTCTAGTCACAGATATGAATATTTATATCTATGTAGACAGTACTATAGATTCCAAAAATAAAAGATACATAAAAATGAGTGAGCTGAGCAAGTTATAGGATATAAGATTCATATAAAATATCAATTTTATTTTGATAGATTATCTACAATCAATTGGAAATTAAAATATAAAATAAGTTACTATTTGCAACAGCATAAAAATGAAGCATATTTGTGTAAATCTCAACACAATGTATGTAAGAATTATATACTGAAAATGACAGAATATCAGTAAAAGAAATCAAAGAAGTCTTAAATAAATGGGGAGATATATCATATTTGTCAATTCTACCCAAACTTATCTGTAGTTTCCATGTAAGCCCCCCAAAATGTTAGATTTTTCTATGGAACTGACAAGCTGATTGTGAAATTTATGTGGAAAGTCAAAGAATAGCCAAACGATTTTTAAAAGGAACAAAGTTAAAGGACTTCTACTAGATTATAAGACACCCCATACAGCTACAATAAGAAAGACTGTAGAGTATTGGCAAAGTACAGAAATATAGATTATTTGGAACAAGATGAAAAAACCTAGAAATAGAGCATCCCAAATGATTTTTGAGGAAGGTGAAACTGATAGTCTCTTTAGCAAATGTGGTAAAACAATTGGATATGCTTATGGGGAAAAAAAGGAATTTGACCCATTGCTTGTAACAAAATCAAAAATTAACTCAAAATGTATCATATACCTTATGTAAAACCTAAACTACATAATTTCTAGACCATTGAGAAATATCTCTGTGATTTGGGGTTGGGTAAAGATTCCTTAGATGCAACATCAAAGGTATCAGTCATAGAAGAAAAAAAAAGTGATAAACTGATTATCATTAAAGTTTAAAAAACAAATAACTTCTGTTTTTTGAAAGATATTCCTAAGGAAGTAAAAGACACAGAGAGGGAAATATTGTTTACAGTACACATATTTTGATAAACCCTATTCAATACAGAGAAGCAACTCTTAAAACCCAGTAAAAGAGTCAAAACTCAAATTTAAAAATGGCAAAATTTTGAAGAGCTATTTTACTAAATAAAGTGTATAGATGACACATAAACACATGAAAATATGTTCAACATTTGTATTATTTAAGTGGAAGTTAAAACTACACTGTGACAGCACTAAATACATATTAGGATAGCCCCAAAACAAAGTAAAAAAAACAAAATCAAGTGCCACTGAGAAGATGAAACACCTGGTTATATCAAATCTGGACTATAATATGGAAGCTCTCCATAAAGTTAAACATACACTTTACCACACGTCTCAACAATTCCTTACCCAAGTGAAACAAAAATGTCTATGTGTATGAATCTTGTGAGTATTTATAGCAGTTTTATTTATGATTTCTAAAAATCTAGAAACAATGCAAATCACTTTCAGTGGTGAATGGATAACCAATGTATGATATAACTTATACAATAGAATACTACTCAAAAAAAGAACAAACTTGTACATGAAACACTGGTGAATTTCCAATGCATTATGTTAAACAAACAAACAAAAATCAGGTTCAAAAGGCTACATATCATTCCGTTTGTGTCAAGTTCTGGGAAAAAGCAAAACCATACAACAGAAAATTGTCCAGTGAGCTTATCATGAGTGATTTGAGACGTGGGACAATGGGATCATTCATGACAGATGAGAGGCAAACCTATTTCTCATAAAATGGAAGAAGGTTGCTTGTGAAAGAAGTAAGAATCCCATGACAGCGCATGCATTCCCAAACTGAACACGTTTCAGAGACAGTTCATAGGGACATTGGGGATCCAGAAACTGATCACTTTAGAACTATTTCATCCCACATAACCCTTTGAAAATCTTTATGACCCCTTAAGGACGCGTGCAGAGTACTTTGATTACCAGTACCTCAGTGTCAGCCTGGCACCTCAAATAGGCAGTAAATAAACATATACTAAATCTTAATGCTACTATCCAAGGCAGGTATAATTCTGGATACATGGTTATATTTTGGACTTTCTCCAATATTTGTCTTCTATCATTTAGGTCTTGTGCAAAGCCATAGCAAAACCTATCAATATATGAAATGAGTGAGTGAATCTATAATTCTAATGAATTATAATTGAATGAAGCTTGAAATCATGGTTAGCAACTACAGAAATATTTTAGGCACTTACTGAGATCTACAGCTCACTGAACCTTAAATTACACAAACTAAATTATGCAAAGAATTGATCAAAATATCAAAAAAGAGTCAAATTTCATAGATGTGGTTAATTTTGAAACTAGTCTTTTTCGTGACTTTAAATATTGCATGTATTGTTACCTGATTCATTCATGCATTGTTCCCCAAGCAATTTGTTAATGGTACAATAGAGGTTATCAGTGCAGAGACAATCTTCAAATTGGAAATTGTTTTCCACCAAGGACTGGATGCTGAGGTTACAGATTGATGAGTCCTTCATCTTGCAGGGGTTACCTGGGTTTCACAAACATATAACACTCTTGATATTAATCTGAATGTCATCCTACCACAAATCCACATATTAATATGAATAATTCACTATAGTAGGAATTCCTGGTGTTGCTGCAAGATGTCCACAAAAGTGACTTTTTAAGCACAGAATCTATTTTTACTGTCTTTCTCCCCAGTCCTTACTTTCTAGAATAGATTAGAGCTTGTTATACTTTAAAATGACTTTGTCCCCACATAGAATGCCAATTTCTACTCTTCAGTAGTAATCAAGGCTGTCCTTATATGAGATGATCAGAATGATCTATAATCTTCACTATTTTGTCACTTTAACTAATTTTATTATCTATTTGTCATAATCTACTTTTATATCATTCTAAAATTATAAGAGACACGCAGGTGGCTCAAAATTTACAATGAGACATGAAGTACTCCTGATGCTTAGTAAGCACTCAGTAAATATTATTGAATAATGAATCTTTCATAATTACCAATATTTAATTTTCTGCTTTAATTTACAAGCCATATTCATCTACCCAACAATTTTCTTTTATTCATTTTTCTGAATAAAACTACTTGAATTCACTTCATTTGTGTATTTGAGAATATTTCTATTTCAGCTTCATGCATCGGATAATTATGCAAATATTACTGCAATTCACTGAAAATGACTTGCTATTTGTATACTGAAGTAAATGTTATCATTCACGACACTGAATGCAAATATCTTAAATTACCTTATAAACTGTAACAAGGAGCTTCATCATCAAAACCAATAACAAATATTTTTAGTTGTCTTCTACACTCATCTTAAAATTATTGCATTACTTTGAGCAAATTATGCTTTTAAAATTATTTTCCTGAACTGTAATAAGAATGTTGGATTAGACAATTATGATTTTCTTTGGATTATGAACATCCCATGTACTCCTTTAAAGAGCAGGAAAGGGAAGGAAATCTCTCTCCCTTCCTCTGCATCTTATGCAGTTCTTTGAGGTCACGTGGATGGGCAGAATTTTGATGGTGGAAATTTTAAGTGTTGGCAATCAGAACTATAGGTTGCTCCCTTTTAACCCAATGGATTTCCCTCTACATCTTTCGGGATGCAGATAGGCAAGAGGCATGAGCTGTATAGAATTTAAACTTTGTGAAATGAATAAACTGATACATGAAAGAATCTACTGTTATTTCCCCTTTTCAATTTTTCTTACTGAAAATTCCAGAAGGGTTATTAGGTTTTTATTATAGTATTATAATATCCATTACACAGGATGATAAATTATGTTAGAATACAATTTTTTGAAACATTTTTTGATGGTGGTATCAGGGCAATGTCTCACTGTATCATCAGTATCTATTTTTAGCAAATGGAGTCCTATTATAATGCTCCATTCAATATTTATTCAACCAATTGAAATATCCAGTATTTTTTTTCTTCTAAACAAGTAACAGTGATTCTAATGTTTATATTTTCTGCCCTTTGGGACTCCCCTCAAATATTTGGAATGTGAGATAAGTTAAAAATAAAAATATATTTTAAATTGTTCCTGACACAGTTGGAATGGAAGATAGCATATCTGTTGCAAGAATATAAAACGTATATTATATACAAATAGACAAATAACAATGCTTTTGATCATCACAAATGTTATTTTTCCTATTTTATCACTGAGGTATTAACATATAAGCAAAAAAGATATTTGAAAAGTTTTTGCCACACTTCTAACAAGTACGCGTGTAATTATAACGATGAGATAAGTTGAAAAAAATTGACATCTTGCATAAAGCTGCCCACAGTGCATTAGGACTCTGTAACCACATTCACAAATAGGCAGTTGAAGGTGAATCACTTGGAATCAAGTTTGAGTAAGGGGTTTAGAGCAAAGCTAATGTAGTTCCCAAGATAGCGACAGAAATAGCCAATCCTATTTTTATAGCAGTAAAAAGAAATCACTTGAATGTCTTTTAAGCAATGTTTTACCTGAAACATTGCATGAATATTCCATTATTCTCCATGCATGTTTACATCCATCTGCATCACTTAGGCATTGTTCTCTTAAATGCGTGCAATCAGTGGTTTGGGAAGTGGATTCATTTTCCAAGCAAAGCACCATGGCTGAAATAACAACAGTAACAGAACAACAACAACAAATTTGTCATATTACAGTGTGGCAATTGTTTACCTCAAAACCAAATTATTGATGATAAAGAATAGAATTAATGAAAGTACAATCTGATAAAATCATTAGAAGATTGGAATGGATCTTAACCTCCCTTCTGGCTACAGATCTATATTTGTCTTATGTAAGATTCTTCAATGAAGAGTATATAGTTGTGCCCTTACTTAATGCTTATTCATTCCTCAATTTATATTTTTATGACTATTGCTGTATTGAAATTTCTCTTTAAACTTCCCTAATCATCTCCATAACATCAAACTTAATAGTTTTAAGACTTGGTCTTGCCTACTTTTATCACTGCACATTTTGTTGCTATTTTGTTCTTGAAACTGTCTCTTCCTTTGGCAACCCTCTCTTCTAGTTTTCTTGATACTTATTCACTTAATATTTTCTGACTGTAGTTAGAATTCTTCACAGGATCCTTGTTTTTTTCTAGTGAACTATATTTCTAGCTTACTGTCTATCCTCAGATTTTTCCCATTCTCATTTTACACTTGTCTGTGGACGATTCCATGTACTCTCATGGTTTTAACTAAAACCTCCAGACTGATGATTCTCAAAAGTATAATATAATCCCATTATTTTTCAGTATCTCAGTTATATTTCTTATCTCAACCTAAATGTTCTAGACACATTTCCAGACTATAAAATCTTTTTGTCATCACCACTCCCTGGTGGACCACCCTGTACCACTAATTTCACCATTCTCATAGGTGTCCCATGCTAGAAACTTTGGATCCATGGTAGACTCCTTTTTTTATCCTAGCTTCACTCTCCTCTATCCATTTTTGCATAATTCTTTGACTCTTATTTAGAATATTTGACCAACTCACTACTTAGTCAATTTGCCTCCAGTTTCATCTTACTCACATAGGCTCTTTACATGCCTAACCTGCCTACTGTACCATTCTAGTCCTGCCATTTCTCTGTTCATCTTTTGGATGGTTCCCCATAGCATAAGTCTTATATTCTTTATCATATACGGTCTGGGTACCCTTGAACATTTAGAGTCTCCTAAATGCTCCATGCTGTCTTGAACTTCTGGGTATTTACCATATGGTCATACAGTCCATTTCTTTTTCTTCTGCAATTACTTTCTTTTTTTTTTTCTGTTAATGCTTAACACAATGATTACCTGTTTTATGGAACCCTTATCTGAATTCGATACCTTATTTTCCTATATCCAAATTGATTTAACACCTCTCATTTATTTCGCTACCAGCTTAGGATTTCCCCAACCATAGCTTTACTCCTGTGTAGTGAAAGTGAATATTTATATGCTTGTCTCCACCATTGGGTTCTAGGGTTTTACTAGACAGGCATTAGAGGTAATTCATGATGGTATCCTCATCATCAAATATAATAATACATTATATATGTATATTTATTTAAACTAACTTGAATAGTTGCTTAAGAATGAGTTATAAATAAGTAACCAATACTATAAAAAAATAACACCTTCCAGCTATTTACAAGTTATTTTGGGTAGAAGAGAAGTTCCCAATAGGTTTTCTAAAAATATTAAGAAAATAGCAATGCTAAATTATTAGTATATTGTTCAAATTATTTGAATTGATTCTGCAAACATGCAAATTGACACTTCTTCACCAATACATAGAAAAATATAGGAATTGCATTTGAGTTATAGAAACAATATATGAACTATGATTAAGAAAGCTCAAGCTATGTCTTAGAGACAAATTATTTGAATTATAAAAAGGATGATGTTAATTATGAATCACCTGTGACAATGCAGAGTTATAGGCTACAAGTAAACCCTACCATCTTGTCTTTATCTTACCTCTTTTCAAACCTGTTTTCCTAGGGAGAATCCAAGACAACTGATGGGATCATAGGCATTACTTGCTGGGTCACTGCATTTAGAGATTAGGCCCAAGGGTGTGGTTCAGTCACATTTTTCTTGTTGAGGGCTGGAGTGGAAAGTGACATGAAAGTGTCTTTTCATGTGTTCATGGATAACCTCATCTAGCCAAAATCCTGTCCTAGGTTAGCATGCTCAGAGAAAGAGAGTGTCCCACCTATTCTGGGCCAAAGTTACTTGTTTAAATTCAGCTTGCAAAAGACCCTGAAGTACTTTATGTCAGACACTCAATTCATAAGAAACTAGATTTATATTTGACATTGCCCATTACAGTTTGTGAATAGCTCCCTCAAGAAACTTATAGGTGATAATATCCTGAATATATCATCAAAACTTTACCAGTACCTCAGTCTAGTAACAGTTAATGAATTCTACATATTATCTTTCCTAAATCTATTTCATTTCCTTCAATATTTAAAAATTTAAGTTCCATTTGATTGTTTATTTTACATGATTTTCCACACCTTCCTTTAGGATGAAATACTGAATCTACTAGGAAAACCATCTTAGTGATCTGGCTCACAAGAATGAAAATAACTTTAACTTTCCAAAATTTTAGTCATTCTTTACTATGATTTGTGGCCACATATTTAATCCAGGGGTTTTCAAGGATTCTCTTGAAATGCTCAGTGAAAAACAAGTTCAGTTATAAAATAGTAAGATGAAGAATGCTGCACATAATATTACCCTCTTAAGACTTATCATGATAATACAGGTTCTATTTTAAAAATTCGCTACATCCCACATTTTCTTGGCTTTAAAACTTTCCCACATCACAAAACCTATTTAGATGATGTTGAGCAAGTATTCTCAAGAATGTGCTATGGGAAATGTTGGTTAAATCTATCAAATAGTACAGTTTTGACCCTAACAGTATTAGAAATCATTTCCCTCCTTCATGCAACCTAGTGTCAAGGTTAATTTAGAAGTCAGACTTGAAAACAAGAGGCCATTCTTGCTTTTCCAACTGAGGCCATGATGAGGTTGTAATGTATTTTATGTGTTCTGTTGTATTGCTGCCTTATCTACAAAAGTTAAAGTTTCTTAGATTTCTCTTTATAATAAAGAATACAATAAGGAAATATTAAAGCAAATATAAGAAGCAAAATTTTGGGATAGTGAATAACTATTAAAGGAAAGCTAAAAATGTATAAAAGATTCCATTCCTTCCTCCCTTAATTCTTTTCACTTGATTTGACTCTCATATTCAACATAATTTGAAATAACCTGCTTCATTTTTGTTCCCACAATTATGTTTTATTTATCAATTTCCATTAGTATAGAGTAAGCAAAAAACATGATAGCTTTGTTTTAATGAATAGAACACTAATATACAACTATAATCATAACTATCTCTTTTCCTGAAATCATTTTATAGATTCTACTAAATTCTGAAGAAAATACAACTTCTCCAATGCCACATATGGCAAGTAGTTGTTCATGGATTCCACTTTAAGTATAAATGAATTCTTTTCTACCAACATTTTACAATACATTCACACTGCCTAACACAAGAGGGACAAATCCAAATCTTGTCTGTAGCTTACAATAACTGACTGAAATGTGAAACATTTATTTGATGGGATGTTAAGTTGTTTTATCCTATGAAGTGACTCCTACTTAGCAAATATTAATGCTTTAAAGTTAGGGGAACTGATTGGTTTAAATTAATCTCAATTTAATTTCAAAGAAAAAGAGATAATTTGAAATTTGTCATCTTATAACTTGTAAATAGATTCTGGAAGGTTTCATTTCTCAAAGACTCTAGTAAATATGTAAATTCCATAAATCCTAATAAATAACTCAAAGTAACTGGATTATCCTACACAATAAAGTAGAAACAACCTGAAAGATTAATGCAATTCCTGCATTATGCATTTTCTATAGTTATACATAAGTAGATGTGCATTTTTGAAAACTAATAAACCATGCTAAAGTATACATTTATAATTGATACTTATAATAAGCCTATTAGCTTAATCAATGAATAAGTCAGATAAGACAGTATTCAGTATGTGAAGAGTTGGTGTTACAAATTCAGATAAACTAGAAGCATGATTCACTTACCAAGGAAAATGAAGACTATCATGCTGGACAACTTGGGCATATTCACCTGGGAGAAAGGCAGATGTGTTTCTCCAACCACCTTCTTAACAATAACTGTCCACATAAGGCTTCAGATTCTGCTCTAGCTTCCTGAAAGCATTACTGATTCAAGTCAGCTTCCTTTGTCACCATCTCCTCACCAATCTTTCCTGAGCTGTGAACCTTCCTAATTATGTCCAAATTCAATTATTTCCTTCTGAGCATACTAATCTTGGATATTACGCTTCCAAGAAAGCTCACAAGCCAGATACTAAGAAATGATACATGCTCAGCACGTTCATGAAAAAGGGCTTTTTCCCCCACTTCAACTAGAATGCTAAACTATGTAAAAGGCTCCCAACTATACCCCAAAAACTTCCTAGATATTTGAGTATCCTCAGTTTCTACTTCATTAATTAGCCTTATTGCAGCAATTTTATGTCATATAAGAATATGGCAAAGGAGAAAAGCAGCCCAGGCAAATGTATGGGAAATTCAAGGTCCACTGGAATCAAACTGCTGTGCCTTATCTTCCAAAACAAGAAATATTGTCTGCATATGCCACATACTCCAGTATGTTTGCAAGTTGTACTGGTTCAGCTACAGTTCCCCAAACCCACCAGACACAGTAAAAGTGTAAGAAATGACTCCTTGCAGTGATGCAGAAATTCCCTGCTCCCCTGGAAAGGTAAGAGTTCACTTACGTTCATCACTTGACAACTGTTTTTCCCCTAGCTTCCATGAGAGGACTGCTATGGTCTGAATATTTATGTCTCCCCACAAACTCATATGTTGAAATTCTAACCCCCTAAACTGATTATATTCATAGGTAGAGCCTTTGGGACATGTTTAAGTTGTCAGGGTGGAATTCTCATGAATGGAAGTAGTGTCTTATGGAAGTCTCCAGAAAGATCCCTTGCTCCTTCCACCTGCAAGGGCACAGCTGGAAGGCACTGGCTATCAACCAGAATGAGGGACCTCTTGAAGACGTGACCTGGCTGGCAACTTGTTGCTGGGCTTCTAGTCTCCAGACCTGTGAGAAATAGATTTCTGTTGTTTATAAGCTACCAGACTGTTGTCTTTTGTTATGGCAGCCTGGATGGATTAGATCTAGCTTGTATTTCATTGTGTTCTTCCTCAAAAGAACCCAGAGAACATCAGTTCCATTGTGGCATCATGAGGCTTCCACTTTTAAAATATCTGAGACCTTTCTGTAATGGATGCTTGAAATATACAATGCTGTTTTGGCAAAAACTAGGAAAATACAGATGTGGATAAGCTACTATCTTGAGATAAGACAGAAGCACTTTGTGCCCACAGTGACACAATAGAAGAATTGTTGATTCTAATTGTCCAAGTTTATTTTCCACTAGAGAGAAGTTAGAACATATTTTGTTTTCAGAAGGCATAATGGGGAAACAGACTTGGGAGTCTGATAAACTGAAAATTTTTTTCTCCATAAATGTAGGTAAATGACTTTACATTGGAAGTTGTTTATATTTATTTACTCCTCTGTAAAATGCTCTGATTGTATCCATAGTTGTCATATACATTAAGTATGTATTGGGGCTTGTATCCCAGAGATCAATAAATGCCAGTTATACTATGCCCAGTGACTTATTTAACAAAATAATTACTTCAGGGATCCCTGGGTGGCGCAGCGGTTTGGCGCCTGCCTTTGGCCCAGGGCGCGATCCTGGAGACCCGGGATCGGATCCCACGTTGGGCTCCCGGTGCATGAGCCTGCTTCTCCCTCTGCCTGTGTCTCTGCCTCTCTCTCTCTCTCTCTCTCTCTATCATAAATAAATAAAAAAAATTAAAAAAAATAATAATTACTTCATAAAATTATTCAATTATTTTTATTTCCTTTTGGAGATGCTGATTAGCGGGGGCCTGGGTGCCTCTGTTGGTTAAGTGTCTGCCTTTGGCTCAGGTCATGATCCTGGGGTCCTGGGATCGAGCCCCTCATGGGGATCCCCGCTCAGTGGAGAATCTGCTTCTGCCTCTCCCTCCCCCTGCTCATGTGTGTGCTCTTTCTCTCTCTCTCTCTCTCTCTCTCTCAAATAAATAAATAAAATATTTTAAAGATACTGAATAACTATTATAAATTTTACTGAGATAGTTGTTCTTTTTGATACAAGCCAATTAAAAATGGCTAAAGCTAGAGAGATATTCAGTGGCTCTGTTGGTTCAAAAACTGCCTCCCCACCCCCCACTCCCCAGACAGGGAGGGCAAGGAAAGCCTGAGAAAGAGGCAGGGCACTGCAGATTGGTAGGCAGCAGGTTTAAGAATTAAGAAGTAAGGGAACTTACACGTGAGGCTTGTCTCCAGCAGCCTCAAGATGAGTAGATCTCTGCATTGCCTGCCAGATCTTACAAGTTTATGTAGAGCGCTTACCTGGATTCAGTCATGTCTATGGCCCAGAGGATCTCAAAAGCACAGTCCTTTCTCAGGGCTGCATCCTTGCAACAGCTCCCATGGTAGGAATGGTGAATGTAACCTACATTCCAGGGAGCAGGAGGAATGAGGAGCTTCCTGTTGCCTAGGTGCAGTTCTCAAGTCAATTGGAGGTCACGTCCTCTCAATGACCTCCTTTAATAGGCTCCCATAGTTGAAGAGTCCAGGGGTAGAATTGATTTCAGACATGTTTTAACCTTGCTTTAGGGCCTGAGGGTTTCCCTTCTTGTCTCTTAGCTGTTTTCTTCTGTGTCCACTCCATTCTCAGGCAGCTTCTTTCCTCTAGGAGGGAAGAGGGCACCATGAAGCCCTTGGCAGGCATCCTTCTATCCTCAAAGCCAGAGCAGGAGGTGTGACTATTTTCATAGTAAAATTCCAGACTTGTGTCACATCAGTTAAATGTTCCCATGCCCATCCATCTCACCAAGTAGAACTGATCTCCCTTGGTATCCAGCATCATGGATGTAGGTGGGACTGGCCCTATTCCAACCACAGAAACTAACAGTAAGAGAGGGGTGCATCACCAAGGAAAATCATGGTATTAGAAGAGTATGTGAAGGGACCTGGGCTGGAACAACAACAACAAAAATTGCAGTAAAGCATCTAAATTCTGAATGAAAGCAGGGCTACCACAAGAAAAAATAAACTAATAAAACAAAGGAAAAGAATACCAAAATATAATTTCTTGCTCAAGAAATTTCTTGAGAGAGAGGTATTTTGGTTATGACTTTCTATAGTGCAGTGCTACACAGAAGCTGAATGTTAAGACACACAGTGAATGACACTAATCTTGGCCAAACATGTACCGCTGCTGAGGCCTAGTACTTACAGGTAGAGAAAGCATCTGTACAGATAAACCTGCTCATCCCATAGTGAGAATCAACTGTCTAAAGCAGGGTATTTTATAATTTTTGTCATTAGTCCCCTTTCTCTATAGAACTATCTCCTTAGAATATTTTTTAAAGGCACAAATTTTGTTTTGAAGGATTACAAAGGAATCATAGGGAAATATATTCACCAAAATATTTTTTAAAACAATTTGTGAGAGGGGTGCCTGGGTGGCTTAGTCCTTTAGGAAACTTGTTAGGAGTTAGTTGGACTGTTAGGTAGTCAGGGCCTGGGTCCCCAACAAGGAAATATGGAGTCAGGACAGCTAAAATAAATAAAGCATACTCAGTGGGGCGCTTGCTTCTCCCCTTCTCCCTCTCCCTCTGCCCATTCCCCTGCTCACAGGCTTGCTCACCTGTGCTGCACCCTATGTCTAAAGTAAATAAACAAATATTTAAACACACACATTTATGAGAAAGCGATGTACATGCTTCCTTATTACCAAAGTAAATACCAAAATTCGGGGAAGAGGGAGTTTGATAATATTGTAATTTCAGTGTACAGATGACCACAAGTAGTAACTTGAGATGTTTTCTCTAAATGCAGTGTCATATAAAACAATCTGTTATTTCTACTGGTGATAAAGACAGCACAAGAAGTACTAAATTTCAATTAGAGTTTAGTAAAAATAGAATATAGTTTTGCCACAAGCAAATTTATAGACACTCCAGATTAATAAACCTTAATGAAATGTAAAAATGAACAAACATTAACGTAGGTACTTATAAATCCATTAATTGTTTGGAAACTGGTTATTTTTTTAATTTTTTTTATTTTTTATTTTTTTATTTATTTATGATATTCACACACACAGAGAGAGAGAGGCAGAGACACAGGCGGAGGGAGAAGCAGGCTCCATGCACCGGGAGCCCGACGTGGGATTCGATCCCAGGTCTCCAGGATCACGCCCTGGGCCAAAGGCAGGCGCCAAACCGCTGCGCCACCCAGGGATCCCTGGAAACTGGTTATTGCATCAGAACATTTTGGGCAGCCCAGGAGGCTCAGCGGTGTAGCGCCACTTTCGGCCCAGGGCATGATCCTGGAGTCCTGGGATGGAGCCTGCTTCTCCTTCTGCCTGTGTCTCTGTCTCTGTCTCTCTGTGTGTGTGTGTGTGTGTTTCTATGGATAAATAAAGAAAATAAATAATAAATAAAATAATATAATAATAAAAATAAAATAATAAAATAATAAATAAAATAAAAAAGAACATTTTATAGGTGAAAAGAAATAATAAATCATCAGTTTCAGTAGTTTATAATGATAATGGTGTGAGATTTTAAAATGTGTCCTGTGTTTTAAATGAAATGCTATCAATAAATAAATGAAACAGAGGAAAGTAGAATTGCTCTGATTGAAATTTGGGTGAGGAGGTCCAAGCTCTGTTAATTTGCCTTTGCTGTCACCATCCACAGCTGCCATTGAGACATTAAAATATTCCAGAACCTCTATTCAAAAGTCATTGATCTCATTTGTTAATTTTTTTTCACACAAAGAATCCATTCTTATAACAGTTAATGAAATGCACTAGGCCTTGCACCTTGTCACTGGGCAAAAGATACCAGGATTTGTATTCAGCAAACATTTACTGAAAACCTACTATGTCTAAAGCTCTGTGCAAAACCAAAAATAAAAAATAAAGAATGGCCACAGTTTCATTT